GGCAACCGTTCAAATGAGCTCGAATGCTTTCGGCAGCCGTTCAAATACGGTGGTTGCTGGTTTCGTGCACGTTCATTCGGTTTGCCGAAGTCAATATCAGTATGAGCTTTTAAAGTATCTTCACTTGTGGTGGCCGTCTTTGCAAGCACTGCACGCGTTGCGCTGTTGTTCATTCATCCCCCGTTTTTAATGTTAGTAGGCTTAAAGTCACAAAAACAGCATTGTTTGCCAATCTCTGCTTTCCACCCAGGGTGAAAACTCATCGTGTAAATTGGCTCCATGAGGCAAATTGACTAAGGGCCGGTTGTTCAATATCTGGTTATCACTACCTCCCAGTTAAACATTATTATCGACGATTTCGACTTCATGCATATAAAGTGCGTACTTTTATGTAGATAATTATTTTGGCGACGACCGGGCTACGCGACGACTGTGGTTGTGGCCAGATTAGATCTATTCAAACCCCTTTTTATTTTAGTGTGGTAGAATCGGCAAAGAAAATGAGGCAGATTTTCCAATTTATCACCCCTATGCTGTAACCCGAATGTTCGTAGCTACGAATTCGTAGCTCCGTTCCGAAAATTGATATGCTGTAATCCGATCGTAACTATCAGCGGCGCTGCTAGCTAAAAACGTGAAATTCGAAGTTCTTAATCAGCTGCTTTGACATAAACAAATCAAAATAAATATAATCGCAAGTGAATAGTGCAATTAAAAAAACTAGTTTAATCATTATTTAAAAAGAGTTTTCCTTAATTAAGTAGAATACAAAGGATTCAGTGGCCGGTGCACTTTTGTCCCAGGAGGTAGAACACCTAACAGTTGCTAATATACAAAGGAGATTGTTCTGTTAGCTTAAATGATAAAATGTAAGCTCCCTACTTTTAAGGGCCTCCATTTCACTAGATATTGACCTTCTTTAATTCTTGGAACGCTTTCCCAAAATTCCAGCACATCCTCTTAGCTCCTTTTACAAAGCCTCGACCAATGTCTGGCCTTTCGTTCATGCATTCCACCAGTTTTGCGTATTGCGAGCGATTTGTTGTGATCTTCGTTCTGATATTTTTGTAAACATTTAATAATACATTTTTTTTCTATTCACACTTCAACTTACGTACCTACTTTTGTGTTTACACTCTTTACTTTATTGATATTTTAATACAATTTGTTTCGCTCCGACACGAGTTGCTATTCGTACAAAATTTCCGACAAATACATAAAAATGACAGCTACGTCGGGTTCAGGCATACCAACATTACGAATTTCGAAGATGGCGACAACGCGGATTACAGCATACCAATTTTACGACTCGTAGCAAAATCAAATCTACGACGGATTACAGCATAGGGATGTATATTTTTATTGGGTATACATTTCGCACACCGTCTTCAAAAGAGGCACAACTCGAAAATTAGATCGGGAAATATAAGTGCTAGTGGATCGTACAGATATAGTATAAGTATAACATTCGTTTTCTACTTAGAAAATATAATCATAAAAAAAAAATATTTTTTTATTAATTTGAGAAAAATCCTACAGATTCATTTATGCAAAAAATCCACCAAATTATTTTTCCATTGCAAAATACTTTAGCAAATATAAATATGCGGATTTTTGAAATATTAAAAAGTTAAGGTACAGATATATTGAAAGCAGAATTCATGATATACCTTTTTAGAAATTTATTGATTAATTTTTATATTTCGTATTAGAATTGAGTTGAAATTTTAGATTTATGTGAAAATTGTAAACAAATGTTCTGTCCAAAAATGTGGTAGATTTTAAGCCTTGTGTGGTAGATGTGGTAGACACCCAAATTTTAAAAAATATGTGGTAGATCTACCGCATATGTGGTAAAGGTTTGCACACTGGATCTATTTCTATTTTTCCAACGACAGATAAGGTTCTTCCTCTTCTTTTATGTCAAACTCATACAAGTTCATGATGTCGCTGCCGCGTTCAAAAACATCATGTCGCCATCGACAAAGCATTTAGATAATGAAGATAACAAATTGGCAGCTGTGGCCCGTAGCTCGTCGTTTTCAATGTGTTCAGAACTTAACATGTGTGCGATAAAGCAGTAGTTGTATTTAACCGGAGCTTCTACTTCCGATTTGTGTTAACCAGACATTGAGCAACCGGCCCTAAATAGCTTAGCTATTCTGTGCATTGAGTCCGATTGGGCCTGAGCACACTAGCCTGCACAGTCGGACTGAGCAGTCCACCACTTGAACGCACACTGGACTGGGCAGTCGGCCGAAAACAGGTTTCAGTTTTGTATACATGAAGTACGCATAATTGTGTTAGTGCATGTGGCACATGCAAACAAAACGAAATAGAAAACATGTTGTCTATGTGTGCGTGTCAGTCCACCGTCAATCCGCGATTTTCGCGGACTGAAATGAGCGAGGTAAACTCGAACTCTCATTCCCCTCTTATCCACACAAAACCGGTTTTTGGCGGACTGAGCAGTCCAGTGTGCGGAGGCCCATTTACTCCAACGCTTGGAATGTGAAGATTTGTTTCCATTCAAAAATATGTATTAGAACTCACAAGTGTAATCAATTTTTAGTTGCATTATCATATGTATAAGAATATGTAAATATGGTTATTATCTTATAATTAAACATTGAATGAATTTAACCACATATTTTGCATTTCAGTTGTGAATTGTATACGCAAAGATTTTCTTATATTTCATGTACGTTAAAGAATAAAAGGGTGGCCTGTTTCACAGGGCACAGGGCGGCATTTTAAGTAAATCCAGCCCTGTTTATATGGAAGAAAATGCTTAGCACCGTCGGCAAAAAAAAAACTAAAAAATCTAATTTATAGATACAGAAAATTAGTTGTCGAAATGTAGTGATAGTTATGCAGCTATAAAAATTTTACGGGATTATCGAAATTTGTCGAGTTAATGAAATTTATCAAGCTATCGAAATTTATTGCATTATCATTATTTATAGAGTTAATGAAATTTATCGAGTTCTTTGAACTTATCGAGTTGTCGATATTTATTTAAGTACTAAAATTTTAAGATTTATCGAATCGAAGTTTTTGGAATTTTCAAAGTATATCGAGTTATTGAAATTTTTAAAATTAATACGTTTATTGAATTATTACTGCTTATCTTATTTTAAATGTGTTACCAGAGTGTAACGAGTTATCGAGATTTCTCTACAGCTTTCGAAAATATGAGGCATCAAAATTTACGGAATTATCGAAATTTATAGAGGTATCCTAAATTTATCGAGTTATCGATTTGGCTAGAGATATATAGACTTTTGAGTTATTGAAATTTATCGAGCACTTAAGGGCACAGTTATCGTAAATTATCGAAATTGGTCGAGTTGTCGAGTTTTGTTTAGGTACCGGATTTTAGTGTTATTGAAATCCGTTGAATTATCGGCATGTACCAAATTATCGACAAACTGGTATGTATCGGGCCAATCAAAGTACTGCCAAAGTCCTCCAAAGATATAGAAAATTGTAGTCACGATTTAGTTTCAAAGCAAGAGATTTTCGATAGGTAATTTTGTACGTTACGTTGTATAATAATAATAATAATTATTATTATTATAACTATAATTATAACTAAATAAAAAAAATATAAAGAATCCTCTGCGCCCGAGGAGTACTCGAATCCGGATCCTCTCGACCGGCAGCCTAATGCTTTGACCACTTGGCCATTACGACTCTTCGGGCGGCGCCGCAAAAGGCATACATAAACGCTATCAGTTGACTGTCTGTGTTTGTTTTCACCACACATTTTCTCTCCTACTGAATAGCCAAATCATCTCAAGTCGCAAAAATAGTCACTAATTGCTAATCTCAAATTTAGTGACTTGAAATGACACTGAATTACTGAATCCCAGGGTAATATAAAAATAGGTTTCTTGTAGTCCCTGAACAAATAGATGCCCTACTGATTGAAATACGGCCTTGAATTTATATCTGTGCATGTATATACTCAAAATTGATATTTATAATTGAGTTTAACCCTTTTATAACTTTTTAAATTAGAAAATAGCATAAAAACCTACCCGGGTGCCCGGCAGAATTGGATGTCCTTTTTATGGAAGGAACCGATGTGGCTGAGTGGTTCAAGGTGCGCCATACCACCCCGTGAGGCCTGGGACAAATCCCTAATCCCTACTTGTAAATTTTAAAATATTTTTTCTAACAGCCCTCGGCAGAGAACGGCACACCTCCGAGTGTATTTCTGTCATGAAAAAGCTTCTCATAAAATCCATTTGCCGATCGGAGGCGGAGTAAAACTGTAGGTCCCCCCATTTGTGTAACAACATCAAGACATACACCACAAATTGGAGGAGAAACTCAGCCAAACACTTAGCGTGTAAGCGCCAAACTATTAATAATAATAATAATAATAGATTGGCGCTTACACATATGTTAGTGTTTGGCCGAGCTTCTCCTCCGACTTGTGGCGTGCGCCTTGATGTTGTCACACAAATCGGAGGGACCTACAGTTTTACGCCGACTCCGAACGGCGATTGTATTTTTAGGAGAAGCTGTTTTTCATGGCAGAAATACACTCGGAGATTTGCTATTGCCTGCCGAGGGACGACCGCTGTTAAGAAAAAAAGACCTTTTTCTATATTTTTTGCGATGTTGCTTTGGCCAGGGCTTGAACCCAGGTGTTGATGAGTGAAAGCGCGCACTACTTACCACTACACCACAGCGGCCGACAATACACCACAGCGCCAAACTATTACCATTATTATAAAAGTTTTAGAAAGATTAGTGAAATTACTACATTTTTACAGGGAAAAAGTTGAGAATCAGAAAAGTTTGTGCCCTGAGACAAACCGTAATTTGCTTGTTGTGCCGTATTGACACTTAAAAACCCTCCAAATTACTACCAAATCCTCAACCTGGCAACTCATTTCGCTGATAACGCTACTGTAGTTAGGTTGCAATCGCTATTCATCATAAAAGCAAACATAAACCGATTGTAAAATACACAACAACATGCTTACCAACAATAAATATAAGATGCACGTTACGACAAGTGACAGTCCTCCACATTTCTTCATTGCCAGTGAAATAATAAAAGCCCCAAATAGCGCTAGCAAATTATCTGATATTGGTCCGAGTTTTTGAAAACACCTAGAAAAAATTTGTATGTAAAATCAAAATCAACTGGGTACTTGCATATTACCAGTTAAATATTCTCGAGAGTCCGCTTGCACTAACAATTATTAAAATCCAAATGAAAGAAACAATAAGTATTGATAATACTATAGCCATGCTGTGAATAATAACAACCAAATAAAGTGATAATTCGCGAACTGCGCCATTGCTTTCATTCGGTGTCAAGAATTTGCCCAATAAACGACAACCTAAAATTTAAGAGGAAAATTTTAATTATTTCTATATGTATGCATATGTAGCTAAATATGTAAGTTTAATGAGTTGCGAGGATAGAGAAATTAAAGACTCGTATCAATATGAGATTGGTGTAGTGAGAAAATAACCACATTTGTACATATGTATAATATGTTAAAAATAACAGGCATACGACATTTTGACCAGTTTTGGCTATTTTTCTTTTGAAGGTGTGCCTTTCTCTGCCGAGGGTTGTTACTTTTTATAAAAACACACCTCATTACACCGTGCGACAAAAAAAAAAATCACAGCACACGAAGCAATCAATAAACTCACTCATTTTTAGTTTTTCTCTCTGACGTCAGGATTTTTTTAAAGAACTTTATAATTCCAGAGATATGATAAATTCCAAAAATCATTTTAAAAATTCAATGCAATGCAGAATAACAGTATGGATACCAAATGAAATAGAAAATTCTGTAGAATTCAAAAAAAACTAAAGGTTCACAATGACGAATAGGTATTGAGACTGCCCTTTTAATCAAATTTATTTTTTAAACTTTGTTAAAAGAAATTTCGTTTAAGAATTTAACCTTTGTAAACTTAGTTTATTGTCAAGAAAAACATTTTTTTATTAAAATTTCGGAACAAATGCACAATACCTACAAATCTCGAATTAAAAAAAAAAAATAGGATCGATAGAGATCATTGAGGTAAACATAGCGGTATATATATATTTTTTGGGAAACAACAACTACAACAATTACACTATGCGACAGTCAAAATCGGGATGGGATGAAACCAACGGGAAATGTTATATCGGTCAAAAACAAGTTATACGTGGCCCGGCGTTTCATAAAAAATCCAAAACGGAAAAAAGTGTCACGTAAAGTCACATAACATTGTTTGAAAAATATTTTCCCACCAATCAGCAAAAACATAAAACAAAAACAATAAACATAAAATAAATATTCTTGTCAAAATGAGATGCCTTCACTTAATTGTGAATAAAAGCGAAACGCGTCCATCGATTTTTATGATCTATGTCTCATTTTGCTTAAAGGTTATGTGACTTTGCGTGAAAGTAATACGACTTGCCTTTTTTTCCGTTTTGGATTTTTTATGAATTTAAAAAATAAAAAAAATTAATATTTTAGGCAAAAAATATTTTTTTTCTTCATACATTTATATTTACCGGCAAAACTGTTGATTATATAGAAAAACGTTATATGAACAGATTAAAGGAATTGTAATTTTTAATTTTTTTAAATTTGTTCGAGCAAAATCGGACTAGTGGTTCTCGAGTTATGTCAAAAAAAAAGACCACCAAAGGTGACAATTTCCCCTATATGATAGTTACTAACTTCAAATCGATATATCTCGATTCCTAGACGTGTCCCGGCGTTTCGCTGGGTATAACTTCTTTTTTACCGATATAACTTTCCCCGGTAGTTTGAACCCTTCCCGACCATTGACCCCTACCATTTGTCTCACAGTGTTATTAAAGGTCAAAGTTCAAATTAAGCATTTTTTAAATTAACATTTCTCGAAAACCTCTCCAAGGAATTGGGCAATTTTGATGCCATTTGATAGAGAGTTTAATTCTCTTTAATTTGATATACATATTTACACATATACCTTTTTATAGTTTTCACAAAAATTTAATTAATGTGTGTATTTGCGTAGGCGGCCTTCGGCCGCACTTATGGATTATAACCCTCATAAAGTAGAATTCTCTTTCTGTGTTGCGAAGAAAAGGCGCTGAACACCTTTTGCAGAGAACACCTTTCTGCGTAGGCGGCCTTCGGCCGCACTTATGGATTATAACCCTCACAAAGTAGAATTCTCTTTCTGTGTTGCGAAGAAAAGGCGCTGAACACCTGTTGCACAGAACACCTTTCTGCGTAGGCGGCCTTCGGCCGCGCTTATGGATTATAACCCTCACAAAGTAGAATTCCACATTAATTAGATTTTTGTGAATACTATAAAAGATATATGCATAAATATGTATATCAAATTAAAGAGAATTAAATTCTCTATCAAATGACATCAAAATATCGAGAAATATTAATTAAAAAACATGCCTAATTTGAACGTTGACCTTTAATAATTGTTGTAGTTGTTGTTTCCCAAAAAAAAATATATATATCGTTACGCTCACCTCAATGATCTCCATCGATCCCAACATGAATTTTTTTAATTTGAGGATTGTAGGTATTCTACATTTATGCCAAAATTTCTTTTCTAGAACAACCTTCTTTTCAATTAAATATACTATAAAGCTAAAAAAGTTAGAAGGACGAAATTCTAAATTTTTGTCGAGATTATATTAGTCTTTAGCATACTTTTTTCAAAAATATATATTGCAAAATTTCAAAGATATTCAAGGATAAGATCGTTTAAGCCGCCGCTTAAACGTACTTTAGCGGCCGTGCGCGCATCCTTTGGCCGTAGCTGTGTGGAGTCGAAGCGACCCCGAAAATTATTCCCGGGCGCGCACAGCCGCCTACCATCATCGTGCCAAGTGAATTGGAGTTTCAGTTCATCAATTAACGCCAGTTAACGCGCACGCGTTCTAGTATTTCAAGTCATTGCAAGCTTATCTTCCAATAAATTTTATACATGTATATGCAAACATATACACATTGGAAATTTTAACCTTAAACAAACTAAAACTTTGTTTCTCAAACTCAAATCTTTCCCTTAAGCGGAAATTTTACTGTTTATTGGGGTGAGTGCAAGGGGACCAAGCGTAAAATTATTCATGGTCCTTCGAGCCGGATACTAAAGTAGTTAATTTCTGGCACCCCAAATGATGCTCAATAATCTTGCTTGATGCATCACAACTCTTCCGGAGTTGCTTCACGGGGCTCTGTATGACTTTCAGCATACAGAGGTGGTACAAGAGCTGGCATTGGCCACAGCGCCTACCCAATTTTCTAACTTGAATACATAACCGATGCTCAACTTGCTTGACGCATCCACCCACAATGCTCAACAAACTCACTTGATGCATTACAACTTTTCCGGAGTTGTCTCACGGGGCTCTGTATGGCTTTCGGCATACAGAGGTGGTACAAGAGCTACCATTGGCCACAGCACCTACCCAATTTTCTAATTTGAATACATAACCGGTGCTCAACACTCCCGCTTGACGCGCACCCCCAAAATCTCTTACAGAGTTTAAGCGGCAAAGCCACAGCGCTACAAGCCGTAGGGACTCTGCATGACTTACAACCATGCAGAGGTGGTAACTGATGGTTATCATTGGCCCCGATGCCTACCCAAAACATTTTGCTATAATAAATTTTTATGCAAATACATTCATCCTGGCCATGCCCTCTCACTGAGTTAAGCAAAGATTTTGAAAGGATATTTTCAATACCTACTCGTACTTATGCACCAAAAAACTGAATCTGTTCTTCTAAAGAATTTTTCATTTAATTTTATCCCCAAACTGTTTTTCTATATTGCACTGCATTTTTCAAATAATTTTTTATTACTTACCACGTTTTTATCATTTCGAATTCTTGTTTTTCCAGACATAGAATATACAAAACTGGTCTAGACGTCTACCTCGCCGAAAGTAGAAACATATTTAAAAACCGCATTATTATTATTGAGCCTAAAAATATGCACTATACTGCAGCGGGACCGCGAGACACGCCATTTCTTTAACTGAAATTAATTTCTGCTCATATGTATGTGCCAGTGGCCTGTACGATTACGTTAGTATCGTACGAGTACGTTCTCTGCAGAAAATCTGACAAGCGCAGAACTAGCGTAGAAAGCGACATTTTGCCGACAGTACTAGTTCTAGCTCAATACCCAAGCAATGCTTTTAGTTTTTAACCGGTTCCGTTTTGGCCAGTTTTTATTTAAGAAAACGTTTTTAAGATTAGATTTTTGAAAATCTTTCCCGTTTTTTCTTTTCCTTTACAGGTTCCATGTTTGTTACATGTTTTATAAAAAGAACAAAAAATGATTGTAAGCGGCACGCAACAATTTAAATTCATTAAATCTGGAAACTGACAACTGCCTCCACCGCGATTTGAACTAGCGACCAACGATGCTTGAGTCGTTTCCGTATCCGAAAACGCATACAAAAAACTCCTACAGTTATCATCAATTTTCGTATCCGGAAAACGTTCGAAAAAGATGATGTCATTTGAAAGCAATAATTGTATTTTATTTGCTTAAGCTAAACATTTGAAAGCATACATGCGTAGTCGGCAGTGACTGAGGAGTGTTCCGCTATTCGTTAGCTTCCAGAAGGTGCCGGGTTCGAATTCCGTCAGGCGCTTCCTAATTTTATTTTATTTCTTTTGAACCATGAAAAAGTATCTGTGAAGTGCAGAAGGAAAGCGTATTGAACGAAAAATTCTATCAGACAAATTTCAGAAAAACAGCCGAAAACGTATCCGTTTCACATACTGTTGTCTGTACGTACGTTTCTGCCGCACACTTTAGTGGGAAATCGGATCGTCAAAGTATCTGGAAATGGAATCCGTAAACGGACAAAAATCCGCACTTCATCCACTTTTTTGTCCTTTTTGGGATCGGTTTTCGGCTTTTTTGCTGGCTGGGAGTATACACGTAGTTTGTGTTAGAAGCACGAACATGTTTGTATTTTGTCGTTTACTATGTAAAGAAGCACGAGCATATATGTATTTATGGTTCGTTGCTGGAAAGAACATACGAGTTTTGTCGTTTGCTATACAAAGAGGCACGAGCATATATGTATTTATGGTTCATTGCTGGGAAGAACATACGAATTTTTGGTCGTTGCTATTCAGAAGCACGAACATGTTTGTATTTTGTCGTTCGTTGCTGGAAAGAGTATACACATAGTTGGTGTTAGAAGCAGTGTTGCCGTTCTAGCCCTTTGGTGGCTAGATTTAGCTACCACATACTGTTTTTGGCCACATAAATTGGAAATTGCCCCTAGCCCTTTTTTTAGCCCTATGGAGAATTTCTTCGTCCTTGGCATGAAAAAGTTGTATATGCTTAATTTG